GATGGCTCAGCAGTTAAGAACACTGGTTGTTCTTGTAGAAGACCCGGGTTCGAATCCCAGCACCCACATGGCAGGTAACAACTGTCATAACTCCAGTTCCAGGGGATCCGATGGCCTCTTCTGTCCTCCGCAGGCATTGCACTTACCTTCATGCAGACAATATGCATACACGTAAAATAAAAATAATAAAGAAAATATTTTAAAAATTGGCAAGAGATAGCTATATATTATTTGGATGTTCACTTCTGCTCTGTGTGAAACTCTGCTTCTTGCCAGTATTCTGTGTGCAATTCTACCAGCAAGCTTTTGCACATAATAGAGATTTCGGCAAAACTTTCTAGCTCAGGCTTCCTCTGATTATCTTCCTGTTATTGTACAGTATTCTCTCCTTGTGTCTTGTATATCTAAATAGTAATAAAATGCTATGACAGCCCCTGTACCACACATACCCAGTGCCAGGATTTCAAGAACACGAAGCTTCCCCATTTGGCCCATGGTCACACTGACTAACTTTTATGTCAGAATTGGATTTTATCTAAAGGAACAGCTCCCTTTCAGTTTTCTTTCCCCTCTCTGAGAATATGGCACCAAGGTAGAAATGGCCTACAGAAGTTTTTATGAGCTTTAGTGTCTCTGTCCAATTCTAGGCCAAATATCAGTTTCCTTTTTGATTTCTTCATAACCTAAATGAATCAGAGTAAAATTATCCAAAATTTGGTTTCTATGTAGTCTCAAACAGCTGCTTATTAAGGGGGCTGGATAGATGGCTCAGAACACTGGTTAAGAAAACTGGTTGTTCTTGCAGAAGACCTGGGTTTGAATCCCAGCATCCATATGGCAGCTAACAATTGTTATGTAACTCCAGTTCCAGGGGCTCCAACAGCCTCTTCTGTCCTGCACGAGCATTGCACAACACGGGTGCACTTACTTACCTACAGGCAATACACAAATACATATAAAATAAAAATAATAAATAAATATTTTTTATTTAATATTTAATATTTAATATTTTTAACTCCTTGTTAAATCATCTTAGAAATCAGGAAATTTGGGTTTATATGTGTCTGTGTGTCCAAAAACCAAATTTATTTTGCGTAAACTTAAAACTATGAAGCCATGAAGATATGTTTTTAAAAAAAAAAAACAGTACAAATCATAGACTATTATTCAAGATTGAGATAAGTATTCTGAGTTATATGGTTTATAGGAGTTAATTGTGATAGCTTAAAAGTGTAAGAATAGTGAATAATTTCTGCGTTCTAATAAAGGAAAAAGTTATTATACATTGATGGTTATTATTATGAAGAGACCAAGATCACCATATGTCATGTGTTAGACAGTATTCTGCGGCCCAAAAGGCCAAATAATAAAATCACACTGAAGAAAACATTAGTTCTCATTTCCCACCTGATGCTGTTTCTTTGTGCATTAGAATTAAAAGCGACATTTCACTTATTCAAAGAATTTTTTTTTTTTTTTGACGAGTGTCACTATATAGCCCTGGCTTGTCTGGATATCATTATGGAGGCCAGGCTGGCCTTGAACTCATATACCTCCTTCTTGGGACTACAGACATGCATTATCATACCAAGATTCAAAGAATCCTCTTTAAAATAAACCCACGCCAGGTGTGGTGGCACACACTTGCAATCTCAGCACTTGGAAGGCAAAGGTGGGGGAATCAGGAGTTAAGGCCATATTTGACTATATATTGAGTTTAAGGCCAGCCTGGCCTACATTACACTCCATCTCTTAAAACCAAACAATAAATAAAATATATTTCCAAAGTAGATGTGGTAGTACATCTCTACAGTCCAAGCACTTGAGAAGTTCAAGTAGGACTATTAACAGTTTCATGCTAGCCTGGGCTACACAGTGAGATCCTTTCTCAAAGATCCAAAAATAAGAATCAAAAACATTTTCAATAAACTTGTATCTTTAAACATATTACCATGCTTGAAAGCCACATTAATGTGTATCTCTACACATAATTTCCCAATTCAATAGAGATTATTTATTTTTGCAGCAGATAGATTTTCACCATGGCTTATGAATGCAACGTAGCTCTTGATTCCTGCCCCTACTTCTAAAGTAGCAGGATAAACATATGCTAGAATACGTTGTAAAATTCTCCTAAAACCTAGGTGACCTTATTTAAGCAAAAATGTTCCTTCTTTAAAGTTCAAAGTCAGGGTGTTTTTTAAGATTCAGGCAACTGAACTTGATAATATTGCTCACTGTAAAAACTGTTGTGTCTTCATTTAAAACAAGACCATTCAGGGTCTAAAGCAATATGTGCTACTATACATAGGCTACACACACATACCATATATATATATATATATACATATATATGTGTATGTATATATATGCATATATATATATACTAGCATGTTCTAAGTGTATGATTCACAGTTACACAAAGTAGTTAATATTGGTGTAGTAAGCATAAATACTTACAAAACACCAATTTATAATCCTTGCTCATTTGATTTTTCGTGTGTGTGTGTGTGTGTGTGTGTGTGTGTGTGTGTGCTTTCTGGAAATGGTTCTTCTAAAAGAAGCGATTGAAGGAAAACCACTTGAAATTATGGAATGCTTCAAGGAAATAAAAATCTTTCTTCAATTAACTCTTTGAAAAATATAAACCTAACAGTTTCCAAGCCAGGGCTTGGCTTGGTTTTATTGCACTTTATGCTGTGGCAAAGTACCGTCATTAGCATGCTAGTGTAATTCACTACTGTCTCACCCCAGCTGATTGTCTAACTACCTGAGAGGGTAGCATGGTTTCCTGTACATTGAATCAGCCTGGTTTTTCTCTGTTATAACTGTTGGTAGGCATTGAGAGAAGGTATTCATTTGGAACAGTAACAGAATCAATATAATCATGAGAGAGGTAAAAATGCAGAGAGTATCGTGGGTCTGCTCCCTACTACCTCAGCCCTTTCCATTCTCAGCTCCTGGTTTTTGCAATAGAACCTCAATGACAGAACAAATACCTTTAGCTAACATTTTACCAGTTTGAAAAGCTGAATCATGTATATTTAGTTTATAGTGTCACTAATTTCTCTTTGGAAAAGTGCAGTGTATAAAACATCCCATTCTGGACTTGAAGGGATTTTAGAATAAATGATGAAATATTGCAACCCATTTGAATGGCTGATGGTAAAGATAAGAGGATAAAAATTGGGGCTGGAGAGATGGCTCAACAGTTAAGAACACTTCCTGTTCTTCCAGGGGAACTGGTTTCGATTCCTAGCATCTATATGGCAGCTAACAACTGTCTGTAACTCCAGTTCCAGGGGATTCAAGACCCTCCTCTGGCCTCTGTTTGGGTGTTGCATAAAATGGATGCACCTACCTACATGCAGGCAGTATACTCATATACATAAAATAAAAATAACAAAATTTAAAAGATAAAAATTTAAATGTAAAAATTATTAGATTAAATATTTTCTCATCAATCATCAATTTCCTTTCTTTCTTTTGTCTTTTTGAGACTGTCTTCCCATAATCATATCTGGCCTGGAACTTGCTATGTACACCAGGCTGGACTTGATCTCACAGAGCTCCACCTGCTTCTGCCTCCCCAGTGCTGGTATTAAAGGCTGCACCACCACGCTTGGCATAAAATATAATTTCCTTCTGTGTCTTCAGCAAAGAAACATATCATTACATCTTTGTGTAAACCTGTCTCTGTGTGCACGTGCACACCAGTGTACGCATGAGTATGCATGTTCATGTGTACAGTGCAGATGCAATGTGTTTGTATGCTTGTGGAGCCGTAAAACAACCTAGAGTGTCATTCTTTAGGCACAGTCCTCCCCTGTGCCTGCCCCCTCCACACACACACACACACACACACACACACACACACACACTTTTTTGAGACTGAGTCTCTCACTGGCCTAGAACTTCCTAAGTGGACTAAGCTGGCTGACCATTGAACCTCAGGAATCCTCTTTCTCAGCCTCTCTAGTACTGAGCCTTTCAGCCTGTGCCACCATGCCCGGTTTATGATCTATTTACATGAGTGCTGGAGATAGAACTCAGGTCCTCATGTTTACAATACAAACACTTTACTAACTGAGCCGTCTCCTGAGCCCTGATTACATCTTTTACCACTTAACTACTATGTGGCAGGACAGAGATCATCATGGTACTTTTATGTTGGGATAAACAGCTTTACTCTTTCATAGGAGAACCAGCACTATATTCAATTATAAAAGGAAAGACTGCGATGAAGACGAAGCTACAAGTGAGCCTGACCACATGCAGGCTTTTGAGGGCTTCAATTTTACAGTAGTCCTTAACTCTCTGCTCCGAGCAGAGTAAAAACAGGGAGCCTGTGGCAAAGTCTATGCAGTAAGACACATATTCATGGGAGGATATGTTTTATTATTTCTGTGCTACAAACCAGAAATCTTCTGCATGTTAAGTGTCAGATTTTGCTGTTGTTAAAGTTCAAACATTTCCATATTGTAGGTTAAAATTTCAGTATACATCAGGTTTATCTCTGTAACCATTAGTCATTTTCCCAATTCATAAATATTAAAGTAAATATTTTTAAATGTGGTTGTGGAGACTTCATGTTTCATCCTTCTTAGACGTTCTGATGCTTATAGATATTTGTTCCTAGTCATTGCTTCACTTGAATTATTCTCAACATTATAAGCTCAATAAAGAAAAAAAAATGTCCAAAAGTCCAAAGAGAAGTAAAAGCCTTGAAACTTTGGTATTTCAAGCCCTGCATTCCTTGACATGTCCATGCTTATGAGGCGGTCCACAGAAAAGGCAGGGAGAGGGTTTTGGAGCCCAGAAAGGACACTAAGGGAAGCAATAGACAGTATCAAATGACTAATGGTAGTAAATATCTAACTACAACAGTTGTTATAAAAATGAAATTAAAAAATAACCCAAACTGTGAGCAAACCCCCAACTATGGTGTGATCAGCTTCTATGGCAAGAGACGACATACAAAGTACTAAAAAGAAACTGGCGAACACCGTTCCAAGGATGATGCTTAGTTGACAGGACAAGGGAGACCCAAACAGCAGACTGAATGGTCCCAGCATGCTTGCTGCCTTTTTGAATTTGCACAGTGGCCGTCAGTCCCAGCCTTGCAGGTAATGGAACCCAGCGGGAAGAAGGGGCGGGACCCAGCCTTGCAGCCTGAACTGAGAGCAAATTTAAATTACTGAGCTTTTTTTTTTTTTTCCTTTTTTATTTTTCTTCTCTGCGACAAACTGAAAAGATTCCAGCACGCTAATTTAACCACCCTGCTTCTTCTTTGCGCCCCCCGTCTCCCTGCTTCCAGGATAATTAAAAGAGAAACCTGTAAAAGCTACATTCCCGTGAGCGAGTTGGTGCTGCAACGTGCTGGTAAGAAAATGAATTTAATTTTTTAATCTTTTTTTTTCTTTTTTTGGCTTTTCTTTTTTTAAAAAAAAGCTGAAGTCTTTGTCTCTCTAATGCTGTCATAAGCGTGGCTTCCCTGCCGTGAGGGGTTAGCCTGTAATGAAAAGGTATAATTGCCTGATAGATGACCTTCGCGTCATACTTATAACGAGTAATAACCGCATCCCTATCTACCCTGATGATGCTACTCTCTGCAAATTGACTATTCGCCCAGTCGCAACAGGGCGAAGATTGTTGCCTTGTGACAATGAGTTGTTGGTTGTTCGTGTTAGAGTTTCAATGTCCGATCTGAAAGAATTCTTGACTTTCTCCAAGTTACTGCCTGAAAGGGGCTATTATTTGTTCTAATAAGACCCTTACCGATCATAACTGTTTTGGTGTTTGCTTCTTAAACAGGAAGTACAAAGATGAAACTTCTTTTTTTTTAAGGAACAGTGTAATTATCACAGACTTCTCTAGTCCAGATAATGACAGACTAAAGCAAGTGCTGGGCACAGTTCTCTTAATCCCTTTTATCTGTAACAACTCAGGAGTTCAATAGACAGTCACCCGAGGAGGAAAACCTGTATCATTTGGAGACCTTGAACTTGAGATGCCAACTTGATTCATTAAAAAGATAAATTTTAATTCAGCCCAATTAAATTCAACAAGTATTTCTATACAGCCTGGAACTGCTATGGAGAACAGCTGTACTTGCTACACAGTAGTGAGGGAGAAACGGAAGATACACAAGCTACACGGTGTCAATTTTCAGGGACTGGCTTTTCTCACTACCTTTAGAACTGACTGTTTACACGATTCCTAAAGGTCTCGAGGATAGCTCTCCTATGACCAAAGGCACTTCTTATTTGGTGCGTGTAAATTTTGCTTATGTTAGTTTGTAGGTATTTCTTACATATTTAGATTATAGTTGAACATTATAAGGACGTATATCAGTATTGTTATTGTATACCAGTATGCCATTAAAAATACATATCTAAGAGGCAAACTTTGTTCTTTCCCAGATTTGAGTGTCAGAAGCCCGTAAGACATATGGAAAGGTTTAGACTTCTATGAGTCTGGCTTGGATTTGGGTCTAGAAACTTAAAAATAAGGATCTTCCTTTCTATAAGTTTGTTCTAAGAGCTCATACAAAGCATCAACAAATAAAATTTACTATTCGCCGTTGTTCTTTATGAATTCTGTCAGCTTTTACTTAATTTTCAATTTAGGGGTCTTTCAAAACAAAGACAAGCAAAGCTATCACAGGAGGTATTCAGAATCAGCAGTTAGTTAGCAAATATTCATCAAAGCCTTTGCTAGAAAAACACTCTCCTGTGGATAGTTGAAGGCTGTATACCTTGCTTCTCATAGAGAATGGGCATTACATACACTAGTCTCTGTAGCTGTACTAATTGTGTCATTCCTACGTTTAGCAGCTCTGAACCTTGATGCGCTTTGGTCTTCACCAATGCCCCCAGATCACTTGAAATGTCTAAAAAGACCTCAGAACATTAGAAAACGTCAATTGTTAAAGTAATTTCTGCTCTGTACAACAAGAGAAAATGATGTGGATTTAGTGTTTCATTTTAAAATCTGTTCTTATCCACCAGTAACTGTCTATTAGCTGCATTTCAGTTATAATTGGAATAAATTGTTGCCCAGTAACAAGCCACTAACTCCAGTCACTGACTCTGTGTAAAGTCGCTATGGAGTTAGTTGCTTGTGTTTCGTAATTTTGAAAAAAAAAAATCCATTTCATTATAGTTTTACTATTCTCTTTAAATTCTCAAATTTTCACATTAATTGAAAAAGTCCATATGCAAAATAAAGGTCAGTAGATCTTTCCAAAGTTCTATTTCTGGCACGAAATAAGAATAGGAGAGGGTGAGCCCAACCTCTCCAACTTCCCGTGTTAACAAGATTCGGAGCTAGCAACACATTCTGTGTGAAGACTGCTATCATCTCGTACAGAACATATTATAAAATTAGGGGTTTCACTGTGGGATTCTGTCATCGAACTAGTAATCAGTCCATAATTCTATATATCCCTGCAATGAAAATGATGCTTTCTCCAATAAGAAATGTTGATAACACTGAAATCATTTATCTTACCCATTTTTTCCAATAGATAAAAAGCCAGCAATAGCCCCAAGTCCTGGTCCTTAAGCAGACATGATGTCAGGGTGTCTGTCTTGCTGAAGTGCTGTGACATGACAATTTCCAAAGTGAAATTCTCCCTCCATAATTTTCATCTACCATTAGCTTTTGAAGTGTGTGGAAATAGTTTTATAATTGCACAGGTGTTGAAATAGAAAATATTTGATGAAGAGAATACACGTGGTTACATGGACATGGACATGCAGAGGAAATTATCAATGATGCCAGAGTAAAAATATAAGGGCAGCAAGAAAATGTAATAATTGTTTGCTAGAAATATGATATTTGCTTGATTCATTGTTCAGTATGGACTGAGCATCAGCCATACAACAAGCAATATGTTAGAGCCGCGGTAATGGAAAATGAAAAAACTATACCCCAGTCATCAAGAGAATTACAATGTACTAGTTCACCTGGTATGCTAGTAAAGTCGTTTGATTCACTGGCCTGTGAGGAACTTAACATTAGGCTCCTGTGATAAGAAAATGAGTATTCTTCTTACCTCACTTTCCATATTTTTTGGGTTGCTTTTCTACATCTACGTTTTAAATTTTTATATATTTTTAAAAATATTGCTGATACAAGTTGTCTTTTTACCTGGGTTTTTAAGTACAATAGAAAAGAAGGAAGAAACACTGAACTAGATGCAGGGATCTAGCAAGCCTCCTCTCTCTTCTGCACATTCATCGCATTGTTTAGTTCTGATACACTGTCTCCTCATCTTTAGAACAAAAGGAATGACCCTATCCAAACAGTATAATTGTTTTACTTCATCCCAAATGAAGGTAGTTAACTTACCAGAAGAGAGAGGCAGTTACAGTAGTCATTGCATGCCAATGGTTTTAACAAAGGAGAATTATCAAGAAATAAAAGACAGTCCTGTCCTCCACATTTGCACTGAGTTGATGCAGGCTCATGCTTCTCTCTGAATTTCATTTTCTTCCCTCCCATCATTGATATTGGGATGCCCACAGGACCACAGAGAAACACTGTGACAGAACAGTGAGTGCAAACAAAGCATGCAGCTCTGGAATCTTTTGGGATCCTTTTATGTAATCCAAGAAAAAGTAAAAAGTGGCTCCTCCTTAAATAGCATCATATAATCTTACATTTCTTTTTTATGTACCTTATTTATTTATTTTTATTTTATGTGTATGAATGTTACGCCTACATGTGTGTAAGCGCACCTGTGTCATGCAATACCTGCAGAGGCCAGAAGATGTTGGATTCCCCTGGAACTGGAGTTACAGATGCTTGTTAGCCACCATATGTGTGCTGGGAATTGAACCCAGGTCCTCTGTAAGAGAAATCAGTGCTCTTAACTACTGAGTCATATCTCCATCCCCCATGTACTTTGCAAAGGAGTACTTGGACAGTTAGATAAGATCTCATTGATGTGTGCAGCCATAAAACTATCATAGCAATCAAGAAGCAGAAACTTCTGTTTGGACAGACGTTTCCTGAGGTCTCTGTGCAGCCACTCTTCCCTCCATCACTAGCCTTGGCTTGCTTTCACCAGAGTGATGTACATTCTACAAAATAGTAGACAAAGGGAACCATGCAGTCCATGCTCTTCCGGGGCCAATTTCTTTGACTTGGCACGAGGCCTTCTAGACTCACACATGGTTGCACTCATTGGTGTAAAACAGCATTCCTGTGTGTGTGTAAGCCACACATTTCTTCAATCATTCACCTGTCAGTGGGTATTTCGGTAGTTTCCACACAGAAACTATTAAGAGGTAAACTATAAACCTTCATGTTCAAGTCTTTATGTGGATTAGGGTGCCCATGTCTCTCAGGGAAAAACCTACCAATGAAACTTTTAGGTCAGATGGTAAATGTATATTTACTATGTAAAGGAGAAAACAAGCAATTTTCCAAAGCAGCTGTAAAGGTCTTATGCTTCCATTAGCAGTGTGAGAGAGTTCCAAGTGTCCAGAATCTTTACCAACAGTTGTTGTTGTCAGTCTTTTTAATTCTAGCCTTTCAATAGCAGCATCTCAAAGTGACTCTGGTCAACATTCCCCTGCGAACTAGTACCGCTGTTTCTTCGTGTGAGCTCACTGGTTCATTAGAGAGTGTCTACTCAAATCTTCTTGACTTCAGGTTTTTAAAACCATATTCTTCCCATTCACTTAATATTATGTTCTCAGAGTTCTTTTTATATTCTAGAAACCTCTTCTCAGATAGCCTCACTCAAAATACTTTTTCCCAGTATATAATTTTTCCTGTGTTTATTTTAATGGTATATTTCAAGTAGAATTTTATTTCAAGTGTAATTGAGATTAATCCAAATTACAAATATTTCAAAATGGCAACATATATATTTTGTGAGACAGGGTGTCATGTTGCCCAGGCTGGGTCGAAGCTCACTATGTGCAGTTTAGGGTGACCTTGAACTTCTGAGCCTCCTGCTCTTACACCCTAGATTATAAGTGTGTCCAACATACATTTTATGACTCTTACCTTTTTACTTTGTTTGCTTAAAGACAACAAAGAATTTTTCTCCTCATTTCTTATTTGTAAGGTCTATTTCAGCTTTGTCTTTATATTATGTGTTTTGAGTTAGTTTATTTAGGATCATTTTTTCCTCATGTGAATAGTTAACAGCTCCAGCACCCTCAGTAGTAAGCATATAAAAATATTTTTCCCCAGTTCAATTACCTTAGGTCATTTGTCAGACATAAATTGATGATAGTATATATGTTGATCATTTTCAAGAATCTTTCTATCTGGTACTGTCTATTCCTTCACTAATCGCACACTGGACTAGTTACCCTAGCTTTACAGTAAAATTTAAGAACAGACAGTGTAAGTTCTCCAAGGGTGTCTTTCTTTTTAAAAAGTTGTTTTGGTTATTGTACATTGCTCTTATTTCCATATAAATTTCAAAATTAGCTTGTAAATTTTTACCCTAATAAAAACCCTACTGAAACTCTTACAGAATTATATGGAATCTTAGTTCAGGTTGTAGAACTGACACTTTAACTACATTAAGTCTTCCATCCTTAAACAGTTGCTTAGTTGTATTCCATTTATTTCATTGTTCTTTACTTTCTTTCAAGCAATGGACTAAACCAATTTTGTTAAATTTACCCCTAAACATAAAATGGATCTGGATGTTGTTTAAGCACAATTGCATTTTTATTTATTTTCCAAAGGGTTTGTGTCTATTACATAAAACTATTGATTTTTGTATAATAACTTCTTATATGCTGACCTTGATAAATCCACTCATTAGTTCTGTGAGAAGGTTCCAAAAGATATTTCTTAGGGCTTTCTAACTATAACATCATCCCTCGTCCTTTCTAATGTTTGTCTTAACTAGCGGGAATATCCAGAAATTGCAGCAATATATTAACTAGAAATTATGAAAGTGAACAACGCTGATTTATTACAATCATAAGGAAAAGGCACTTAATCTCTTTGCACAGAGTCGTAGCGGCTCTGGGGCATATTCTGCATCAGGAAGAGGAAGAGTTTCTGCAGCCTCATTTGCTAAAGAGGGTTTCCAATGAAAGATACTGCCCGTTTTTGTACTGATAGCTGATTTGCCAATGTTCTATGAAGGGTTTTTGTGTCTCCATTTATGAGGGAAGCTACTTGGTATCTTTCTTCAAATGTTTTGGGCATGGTCACAGGCTAATAATAGTCTCATAAGATAGATTGGGAAGTGTTCATTCCTTCCTCGTCTATTTCATCAACCACTTTACATCAGATTTGTGTTCCTTTCTTTCCCTAAATACTTGATGGAATTTTCCAGTAAGTGCTGTGGTTCTCTAGGGAAGATTTGAATACAAGCTCAGGTTCATCTCCTGGTATCTTTGGTTATTTATGCTGTTTTGAGAATCTGTATGTGTTTCTTGCATTCTCACAACACTGCTACAGAATGTTAATCATACAACCATTCTCCACCTTATTTTTAGAGACAGGGTCTCTCACTGAACCTGGAACTCACAAGTTCAGCTAGACTAGTTGACCAGAGAGCTCCAGGGATCTGGTCTCTGCTTCCCTGGCACTGGGATTACAGGCATGGCCACCATGCCCAGCTTTTTATGTGGTTCTAGTGATCCCAACTCGGGCCCTCACGCTCCAGTAGCCAGAAATTTACTGACTGGGCCATCTTTTATGTTAATCAAACTTTTTAAAAAATTATATTTACTTCCTTTATTTGTTATCTTGCGTCGTTTTTCTGTGATTGCTTTAGGGATTACAATATACATTTAAGGTTTTTAAGATTAATCTAATTTATTCATCATCAATGATATTAATTCACCAGTATACTTCCAGTTCTCAAGAAAAAAAAATTCTGCTTAAAGCTCATTAACTTTCTTGAAGCTAAATTTTAATATTTTCTACCAAATCTAGGGAGAAATTAGGCTACTTTTTAAATTTTGTGATCATTTCTATCTTTCCTTTCCTTTGGAAACTTTAGCTGCAAATCTTAAAACTTGGCTGACATTCTCCCACAGACTGATAGGCATCATCATTTTCTTTCAATGCATCCCCTCTCTGTCTTCCAAACTGTGTAATTTGTATTAATGTATTTTAATATTATGCTTTACCATTTCCAATCTCTTCATGAGCCCAGCCCATGAAATTTTAATTTTGTGGATTTGGGGGGGCGGGCTTGTTTTTGGTTTTGTGTTTTGTATTGTTTTCTGGACAAGGTCTCCCTGCAGCCCCAGATTGCCTCTGACTCTCTATGTAGACCAGGATAGCGTCAGTCTCACAGACATCCACCTTTCTCTGCCTCCTGAGTGTTGGGTTTAAAGGCATGCACCACCATGTCAGGCTGAAGTTTTAGTTTATTGAAGATCTTAGCTCTATTTCTTCCTCTACAGATGTTTATTCCCCAAGATTCCCATAAGCTTTCAACTATGACATTATACTTTCTTTAATTCTGTGAACTTATTTTTGGTTGCTGCTACACACATTTTTATGCACAAAATCTAGCAGCTGGGGCTGCTGGGAGTCGGTTTCTGTTTGCTAACTTTGCTCCTGCTTGTGAGTCACCCTTTCCTCTCTGCCCTAGTTAGCTTCAGCTGCCAATTTGACACAGCCTGAAAAAAATGAGGGAGTCTCGAATGGGGGATTTCCCAGATCAGATTGGCCTGTGGCCATGTCTGTGAGGAATTGTCTTGATTGGTGATTGATATGGGAGGGCACTGCCTACTGTGTGTGGTGCCTTCCCAGTGCAGATGGTCCTGGGCTGTATTAGAAAGGTTGTAGAGAATAGAAGCCAGTAAGTGGTATTCCCTTTTGGTTTCTATCCGAGGTTCTTGCCTTGGGTTCCTGCCTTGACTTGCCTCAATGAGGGACTGTGACCTGGAAGTATAAAATAAACCCTTTCCTCCCCCTTTTTTTTTTTTATTTGGTCATGGTGCTTATTATAGCAACAGAAAGCAAACTAGAAGACAGTTTTGATGCATGTCTAGTAATTTGGGTTGTGAGATCGTTACTGAAGGCTGTCTGTTGCTGTCCAGTGGATCTTGTACTGTTTAGAGAGCCCTCGCCTTTACTCCACTATTGAACTAATCTGCCTGGACGACTGATGTATATATCTTCTTGTGTGAAGCAGTCAGTTTCCACTTAGTTGTTGGACTTCCAAATGTTGCTTTATCATTAGTCTGAGCCCCTGAAGGTCTTCCCTGTGAACATGTAACTTGGCAACTAGAGATATAAATGAAGATATGACTTTCGCTTGGGTGTTTACCCTTAGCATGGGCTCTTTGATTCCAGTAATGTTTTCTAAATACAAACACTTTGGATATATCCTCAGGTCCTTGCTTCTGAGGCTTTCAAACCTTGTGGCTAGTTTCCTGGACATCTCTGTATTTCACAATTACAAAGTGTTTTCATCTTAAAGAAAATCAAAATTATTTATCCCAACTCTTACATCTTTTGTCTTTCAAAACAGATTCATCGCTAGTCTC